CACTCACCTGGAGCGCTGCTCCCCAGCTAGGCAGGCTCCGGGCATCGCGGGCTCCTTTTCAGAGAGCAGCCCGGGGTGTGGCCCGGCCCCTCCGCCCGGCATCCCTGCCCGTGCGGGATGGGTCCGGAGCCCGGGACACACCCAGCAGCCCTTGAGAACACAACCGGGAGGCAGGACAAAGACCCGGGCTGTTTGTTAATGCTTGGCATTCCTAGGGTACAGCCGGGAACGATTCCCTGCCKCCCTGCGCGGGACAGGAGGTGACAAAAATCCATCTGTGCCCCCGGCATGGAGCTGCTCCGGGAGAAAYTTCCTCCAGGAGAATCTTCTCCAGGCACCCAGGACATGTTGGAAATGTTACTTCATGAGGTGGAAATGTTGGCATTTCTGGAAAATCTCTGCGTACCCCAGTGATCTCCAGCTGGGAAATCCTGAAGAGAAATACATGGATGTTCTTCTGTCAGCCAGCCAGGCTGTGGAATGGGATGAAGCTGTGCCAGGGAGGGTTTGGTGGGGGATTAGGGAAAGGTTCTTCTGTCCCCAGAGGGTGCTGGGCACTGCCCAGGCTCCCCAGGGAATGGTCCCAGCCCCGAGGCTGCCAGAGCTCCAGGAGCATTTGGACAGCGCTGCCAGGGATGCACAGGGTGGGATTGTTGGAGGGTCTGTGCAGGGCCAGGAGTGGGACTGGATGACCCCTGTGGTCCCTTCCAGCTCAGGATATTCCACCATTCTCTGATTTCAGACCACATGGATGTCAGACTGGGAGSTGGTCCTTTGGACACACTGGAGTAATTTTACATCCTCAGATTTTGGTCACATTATTGGTGCTTCTCCAGACGTGTTCCTGCCAAGCCCAGCTCTGTGCCAGGCCTGGACCTGCCCATTCCTGACCATAAATAACCCATGCTGGTGTCACTGTCACCTCCCAGCACTGCCACACCCCAGCCCCAGCTCCCTCTTTTTCCACCACACTTGGTGTCCTTATCAGCGCCTCTGGAATTAGTGCAGCGAGTGATGAATGCAGCTTGTCTGACTCAGAGGCTGCCCAGCRTTAGAGTGGCTTTCACCACCACCCATCCTAAGCCACCCAAACCCATAAAAATCATCATCATCATTTTGTGATTAGTGCAGCTCAAAGACTCGGGGTTCACAGCAAGGAGCCTCTTGTACAGAATAGCAAAGGAGGTGTCCTGTAGCTGGGTGGGAAACCTTCAGGGTTTAAAGAGCAAAGCTTTGGGGTCCTGCACCTTTTGGGATCTCAACTCCCCAAACAGACTRTCCATGATGGAGGATCAGATGGGAAAATGCTGGATGGGGAAGCTGCTGGACAAACTGTGGCTCCATGAGAGAAAACCCAGGGCTCTGCCTCTGCAGCCAGAGTGGAGCCACRGAATATTCCAGGGTGGAAGGGACACCAAAGCCCACCCAGTTCCAACCCCAACACCTTCCACCTTCCCAGGCTGCTCCAAGCCMTSTCCAGCCTGGCCTTGGACATTCCAGGGATGGAGCATCCCTGGGAGAGGTGTCCAGGAGTGCCCAGCCCAYCCCAGAGCTKCCAGAGRGGTCTGTGAGGGGATTTTGGGGCTCACCCAGAACAAACCAACAAACTCAACATAATGACCTGCAAGCCCTGTCCCTGCCTCCCTTCCCTCTGCCAGCCACTTTTTCCAAAACTGAGCCAAATTCCTCATCAGGATCGCCAACACTCCCCCGGATGGGAGGAGAGGCCGTGGAACACCTGCAGGGGTGGGACAGCCCCAGGTGAGTCAGAGCCTTCCCACCCCCTCCGGGCACGGGGAGCGCTGGGCATGGCTCGAGTGTCCCACGGTGCCCCTGAGCTGTGCCGGGGCTGCTCTGGCCGTGCTGAGCCAGCCGGGACACGGGAAAAGGGATATTCTCCATTTCCACCCTAGAAACCCTCCCCAGTCCCATCCCAGGAACCCTCCCATTCCCACGCCAGAAACCCTCCCCATTTCCACCCCAGAAATCCTCCCCATTCCCATCCCAGGAACCATCCCCAGTGCCATCCCCGAAATCGTCCCCATTCCCATCCCAGGAATCCTCCTCAGTCCCACCCCAGAAACCCTCCCCGGTCTCATCCCCAAAATCCTCCCCATTCCCACCCCAGAAATCCTCCCCATTCCCATCCCCAAAACCATCCTCTGTCCCACCCCCAAAATCCTCCCCAGTCCCACCCCAGGAGCCCTCCCTGAACTCTCCCAGTCCCTCCCAGCACCCACCCCGTTCCCAGCGCCTCTCGTGCCATCCCGCCGGGACAAATGGGGGCTTTGTGCCCCTGGAAGGCTCAGGTTTTATCCCAAACCAGTCAAAACACACCCAAACTCCTCAGGGCATCGCCACTGACCCGCCAGAACATCCCTGTGCCCTCCTGGCATTAACCCCAAACATCACCCAGAATCAGAGGGGTCTGAGAACAGGAATAACAGAGGAAAAAGCAGAAAGCTTGAGGAATAGAAGCCAAAAGGGGCAGTTAAAAGATTAAAACCTTGCAGGGGCTGTGGGAATTTAAATAAAATCCTTCTGATGGCTGAAAACAAACAGCAGCAAAGAAAATCCCACTGTCCCAAGAGGACAGAAAGGCAAAGGAGGCTCCTGGAAGCACTTCCAAAAACTTGGAGTTTTTTTTTTGTTTCTTCATTGCCTCTTGAAGAGGAATCTGTCAGGGCCCTGCTGGAACAGCACAGCCCAGGTATAAAAAGARGGTTTGGAGGCAGRGAAAGTGAATTCATCCTTTATCTCRCATCCCTCACAGCAGATCCCTGCATCATGTGAGTGCATCCAGGAACRAATCTCCCATGGAGACACAGCGAGRTAAACCTTGGGAAGTCCTGGGGAATCACAACAATCCCAGCCACACTGTCCAACCCTCGGGAGCAGGAACTGACACAACAGCAGCCTTTAAACGGCTCTCCGGAGGGAAAACCAGGAGGAAAAAGGGAGAYGTGAAGGTCAAATCCCAGCCCAGARCAAAGCTSCTCTCCCTGGAGGGCAGGRAYRGAGGTTTTCCTGCTGGRGTCGGGAGCTGCCGGAGCCTGGGCGGCACCCGGAGCTGACAGAGGGGGATAAAGGGACCCGAGGGATGCCAAACACCTGTGGTTCGAGGAATAAACAGCTCCCAGCCCACAGAAACCAGCCCGTGATGACAGCTCATCCCTGGCACCGRGCCCTTCCTCAACCCTGAGGACACAGCTCAGGCTCAGTGGGACTTGGCACACGAGGAAAATCCCCCAATAACCCAAAGTCGGGGTGAAAAATCTCCCTTTTGTCTGCAGAAACACAAACCTTGTCTGCCCCACACCGTGTCCCCACGGCAGAGCTGTGACAGCGGTGCCCAGGCCAGCAGAGCCCGGGGACACGGCAGAGCCCGGGGACACGGCAGATCCTGCTGCTGTCCCCACCCCTGTCCCCAAGCCCGGAGTCACCCAGGAGAGCTCCCCGCTGCTCATCCCGGGATTAAGGGCGGATCCGGCTCGCAGCCGCCTTGCCCCGAGCTACATTCGGTGCTGGCAGCTCCCTTAGGACACTGAGATGCATTTTTGGGAAGCCTCATCCTGAGGTTTCTTCTGAAATCCTCTGCCATGGCAGGGCAGGGAGGGAGCGAGCTTTAGCAGGAACGGGGAACTGAGATGTTCCCAGATTTAGGGGCTGTTCCAGCTGCCACCTTTTCCTGCAAATCCACGGATCCTTAGCCTGGCACAGATCTGTGGCAGGTCACAGCAGTGCTGTGCTGGTGACGCAGCCACTCATTAAATGTCACCAGGAGAAGGGTTTTTCTAAACAGGACAATATTTGCTTCAGTAAGGAGCTTGTGTCACTCTGTTTGCTCAAGCCTTCGGTAACCAGCAGGGAATACAGGAAAAGAAACATTTCTGCCTCCAAGGTGCCGCTGAGCCCACACCTAAAAATGCCAGAGGGGTCACGGAGCCTGACAGTGAAGGTTTGTGTTTCACAGCTCATGCAAGACCGAGTGTCTCAGGGAACMGGGGACAGGACAYGAGGAAATGGCCTCAGGTTGTGCCAGGGGAAGTTTAAATTGGAGATTAATAAAGATTTCCTCACCAGAAGGGCTGTCCAGCCCTGGCACAGCKGCCCAGGGCAGTGRTGGAGTCRCAGTGCTGGAGGGATTTAAATGCTGAGCTTGAGGACRGGTTTGAGTGGTGGCTTTGGCAGGGGTCGGGGGACAGCTGGATTTTTAAAAAGTTAAAAGATTTTTTAAACCTCAGTGAACGGTGATCCCATTCTCACCTGTCTGTGCTAGCAGCCCATCCCTTGGGGGGATTTTAAGCTGCACAGGCAGAGAGAGGGAAGCCGAGGGTTTCAGAGACCTTTTCCTATCACCAAACACCCCAACCYCCCTAAAAACCAATCCCAATTTATCCTGTGCCGTGGGAACTGCAGAGCAAACCCTGCCCTGGCCACCCAACCCTCCCACTGCACCTTCTGCACCCACAGGAGGTGTCACCGAGACAATGAACACAAACAGGAGGCCAAACAGCATCAAATATCAGTTTATGGCTGGAATCAAACCCCAGCCAGCCCATTGTACCCTCCTGCACGTTTACACAAGAGATTTCCCTCGGTTTCTCCCTCCTCTGTAATATTTGCATTGCTCAAGCTGAAAACCACCCACAGGTAACGCTCCAAGCCCATCCTGAGCTGCAATCCAAACAYGCTAAAAAAGGAAAGGGGATGGCTCTGATGCCTGATTCGCCAAGGTTTGGTGAGCGGGCAGCCTCTCCGGAGAGCAGGAACGGGTTCAGCAATGCCCCAGCCCCACCTGCTCAGCCACGSAGCAGGGCAGGACCCTGGGGACACTCCTGACACACCACGAGCCACCAGCAAACTCTCCTCGTGCTGGCACTTTTACATTTGCTTAGAATGGCAAAAGGCCTTATCTATTATTCGTTTGTTCCAAAAAGTTGATAGCTACAGAAAAAAAAAAATACACAATTTTACGACGTGTGGCGCCTCGCTTTGCGGCGGTGTGGCAGTCTCGTTGTACGGCGGTGTGGCGGCGCGCTTTGCGGCGGTGTGGCACTCTCGTACGACGGTGTGTCGGCTCGCTTTGCGGCGGTGTGGCAGTCTCGTTGCACGACGGTGTGGCGGCGCGCTTTGCGGCGGTGTGGCATTCTCGTTGTACGGCGGTGTGGCGGCGCGCTTTGCGGCGGCGATGGCGGCCCGGTTCAGCGGGGTGCTGCAGCTCACGGATCTCGACGATTTCATCGCGCCCTCACAGGTGGGGCCGGGACGGGGGTGACAGGGCTGGGGACTCCCGGGAATGGGGGCTCACGAGGCTGCCAAGCCTTGCCCGAGGCGGCGGGGTGGGGGGCACCTTCSTCTGTCATTGCCCTTGGTCCTGTCACCGCACGGGGACCGTGCCCAGCCCCTCACGGCTCCTGCTGCTGCTGCTGGGAGTGGGAAAAGGGATAAAAGTGAGGATTTCGCGCTGTCTCTTCCACCAGAAGAGCCCGAAATCTTGGAGCAGCAGCGCATCATCCCCATCCCGATCGCGAAAGCCACCTGTGTGATGTTAAACTGGATCCTCGCCGGTAAAAGTTTAAGCCTGAGCTGGATTCCTCGCCCGCAGGGCATAGAAGGGAATGCACAGCGTTTTCAGGAGGGAATGAGCAGCGAGGCGGCATCAATTCTCCTTCTTCCAGAGGCTACAATCACTGGGRAAATGCAAAATATTAATCCTAAGTGTATTCGCTGACAAATCCGGCAGAAAAACCGAGCTGAAATTTATATGTATTATAAATTTCAGAGATCAGTGGAACGGGGAATTCAGAGATCAGTGGAACGGGGAATAGCAAATCCTGTTAATTCTCCGTGTAGGACTTGGGTTTCCAAGGGAATTTTTCACGTAAATAATGTGCTCTGCTTTCGTGTTTCAAGTGAAGAATCAAAATGAGTTGTTCCTGCAAGGCTCTGAATCCTGCAAAATGTAATAAATACGGATGAATTTAGGGGGAAAACCTGCAGCTGGCAGAGGAAGCACGGCGAAAGGCAAAGAAGAAGTAGGACAAGGAGTCACGGGGCGCCTGAACAAAAAAAAAAATCGGCACAAAATGCAGGAAAACTCWTGGGGCTTGTGCTGGGACAGCAGAGCAAAGTGGCAGCAGCTCAGCTGAGCTCCTCAGAGACCCTTTTGTCACAGAATAAACCCTCGGTGGCACCGGGCACGCCTTGTGCCCTGCCCACACTTCCACAGGCTGCGATCTGCAGCCCAGGATTGCTCCCAGATTCCGGGGAGGAGGAAGGGGCTGGCCGGGCTCTGTTCCCAGCTCTGTTCCCTTCAAAACCAGAGCTCAGTTCTTCAGAAGGAGCAGCAGAATTATCCTCAGGGTCTGGGATGATGCTGGAAAAATGTTCTTTCTGTAAAAAAGGGGTGAGAAGGCTTTGCTTTGGCATTTTTTCTTGCAGTGCTGAAAGAAAGTGTAAGAAAATCCAGCCGGTTTGAAGGGGGGGAGCCAGAGTCACTGCAGAACTGGTGTTTGATCCCTTTATTTCTGTTAAATCTGCCTCTTCCTCGCTCAGCTCCTCACTGCCAGGCTTTGCTKCTCTTTCAGGAATGCATCAAGCCTGTAAAAGTGGACAAAAAGCCTGGAAAAGCAGCAGCAAAGATCAAAATCGAAGCCGATGGAAGCTATTTCCAGGTCGATCAGGTACGTGGGGTCTTTYGTTCAGCAGGGTGTAAAAAACCCAGGAAAAATGAATGTATTTTAAMTATTGAATAATCTACATTTGTTTAATACCTCAGAGAGAAACAAGGTGCTGCTGTCAGCATTCTTGTATTTTTTTTTCTTTTCAATTTATAAGCAATAATTCCAATTTTCTGCCACTTTTATGACCTGAAACACTGACATTAATTAGTGATGGTTTTCAGATAAGCTGCAAAGTTAATTTATTTTATAAATATTTAAAGATTGGCAGTTCCAGGTTGTTTGTGGGAATGTTTTCTGTGCTCACTCAGAGAGATTTAATCAAGATATTTGTAATAAATCTTGCTGTCATTTCTTTTTTAATAATATCTCAAATTATTTCTTTAAAAGCTTGCAGAACCTCCTGCTTCCAAAATTCAGGCTGAGTTTTTTCCTGTTTTCACCAAAAAAAATGGTATTTCTCTGTTAACCAAGCTGGGAATTCCTCTAGGAATGGAATTTTGAACTTTAGGCAGTTTTTTACTTTAAAAAAAGTGAATACAGCACTTCCAAAGGAGTCTGGTTTCTTATTTTAAAATTAATAGTGGCTCATTTCCTGGTCTGTTTCTGGCTTTATTGAGTAGTGATGATTAGAGGAGAATCTCTTGGGAAAACAAATTTATTCAGGATAGATATAAGGCAAAATATTCCTTTCCACTGTCTGGGATGAAGTTGGTCTGGGATGTAATTTCTCATCTCTGTGCCAAATAATCCCATTCAAAGCAGCAAACTTCAGGTGTCTTATTGTCCCTAAAAACAAAGATCTTTTAAAATGGTAAACCAAGGGCATAAAAAGATCAACATCTTCAATATTATTTGTATTGAAGGTGGGGAAGCTGCTCCTAAAACTCTGTGCTGAGATCAGAACTGATCCTGCTCTGTTTCCTTGTAGGATGGGGAAGCCCAGAAGCTGGAAAAGGCTAAAATCACCCTGAACGATTGCCTGGCCTGCAGTGGCTGCATCACCTCAGCTGAGAGTGTTCTGGTCAGCCAGCAGAGCCACGGGGAGCTCTGCAAAGTGCTGGCTCTCAACAAGGTGGGTCCCTTCACCTCTGCAGGAATGGGGCAAAATCCACAGGAAATGGGAATTTCAGAGCCCTGCAGGATCTCAGGCTGTTCTTGCTGCTTTGCATGGATATTGAGATAGGATATTGATAGGGATATTGGGAAGGAATTGTTCCCTGGGACGGTGGGGAAGGGCTGGGTTGGAATTCCCAGAGAARCTGTGGCTGCCCCTGGATCCCTGGGAGTGCCCAAGGCCAGGCTGGGATGGTGGAAGGTGGAAGCACTGGATGAGCTTTGAGGTCCCTTCCACCCCAAACCATTCCAGGATTCCATGAGAGCTGTAAAGGACCAGAGCTGCTGACACTGGAATGGCCTTCTAGGAGAGAAATAATTTAATTGAAGTATAAGGATATAAATAAACCGTTGCAGTTTTTTCCTTATTTTTAACAAGTTTGGAAGGGCTCTGTGTACATTTCTGACTCCAGAGGTCACTGGTGAGGTTTTGGGATGCTGGCAGCTCTGCCTGTGCCCCGTTCACGTTGGGTTTGTTTGGTTTCACCTCAGGCTGCTGCTGCAAACGAGCAGAAACTGGTGGTGGTTTCTGTGTCACCCCAATCCAGAGCTTCCCTGGCTGCCAGGTGCAAAATGGGCGTTCTGGAGACTGCCAAGAAGCTGACCACGTTCCTGAAGGGTTTAGGCAAGTGTGGAATTGTGTTTTGAGGGAGCTCTGGGCTGAGTGGGCAGCATGGAGTCCATGGGCTTCAACCCCCACGGGAATTGCAAACTCTGCACGACTTCAGTCATGTAATGAACTTGGAGTGAGGAAGGAAAGCTTGGAAAAAGGAGGGAGAGGGACTTCTTACAAGCACAGATAGTGACAGGACAAGGAAATGGATTTAAACTGCCAGAGGATGGGGTTAGATGGGATATTGGGAAGGAATTGTGCCCAGAGAAGCTGTGGCTGCCCCTGGATACCTGGAAGTGTCCAAGGCCAGGCTGGACAGGGCTGGGAGCACCCTGGGACAGTGGAAGGTATCCCTACCCATGGAACTGGATGATTTTTAAGGTCCTTTCCAACCCACACCATTCTGTGTTTCTCTCAAACCTGTAAAGAACCATTTAAAATAACTTTAAATTTTAGATTTGCACCTTTTCTGTCACTTTTGCTGCCCTTACTATGCTGAAAAAGGCCCCTTCTCAATTGCAGGGCTTGGTACCTGTAGCTAAGTTTGACGCTGGTTTAGGTGGAAGGGGTTTTTTTGTTGTATTTTGCTGCATCTTGTGGATTTTCACCCAGCTGCTGCCCTGCCTAGGTGTGCACTACGTGTTTGACACAACTTTCTCCAGAAACTTCAGCCTCCTGGAGAGCCAGCGAGAGTTTGTGAAACGCTTCCAGAAACAATCCGAGGACAAAAAGGCTCTGCCRATGCTGGCTTCTGCCTGCCCAGGTATGGCTTTGATTAGAACTGGAATAAAAAAACACAGCAGCTGCTCAGAGAAGTGTAAATGGATGTTTTTACCTGCAGGATTATTCTCTTACAGCACAGAGACCTTGGTGTTAAAGCAGTGATGGTACATTTCTGAAATGAAGTTGTTGTTACATGTCCTTTGCTCTTTGTGCTGAACTGAGGCTGAAAATTAATAYTAATGGACACTAAACCTGGGTTTTGGGGGAGAATGGGCAGAGTGAAGGCCTGCTGCAGATTTTTTAGTTGAATTTGCTGCTGTTCCTTCCAGGCTGGATCTGCTACGCAGAGAAAACCCACGGCAGCTTCATCATTCCCTACATCAGCACCACCAAATCTCCCCAGCAGGTCATGGGCTCCTTGGTTAAAGGCTACTTTGCAGAGCAGCAGGTAAAGGTCTACAAATGCTCTTCTTACTGCAAAGCTCCTCAAATGGGACACTTAAGGCTGCTATTTTTTATTTTTGGCTATGTGTTATACGTGTTTGAGGGTCAACATTGCCTTGCAGAAACGTCTGTTTTARCTAATGAGTAGTAACTAGGGCATAACTCTAAGCACGGGCTAATTAAAGCCTCTGAATTGTTTGGGAAAGCTGGGGAACCGTTTTTATCAGTGTCATTGTGCTCCTGTTGTTTAAAGCTGGTGAATAACCCCAAATAACTGGGCCCAAGCCGAGGCCTCAGTCAGAGCTTACGTGCAGATCATGGCTTGTCAAAAAATGCTCACTCATTCCTGATGCTCTGTTCCTGTCCTTAGTCTGGAACCTTTAACCTCTAGAACCTTTAGTAACCTCTGGAACCTTTCCAGATGTGAGCTGGACATCCACAGGCTGGAGTTYAAACAATTAGGCTGGATTTGGCCAGGAAGGAGCTGCAGCACCCAGGCTGGGTTATTGTGGGGTTTCTTGGCTGCTGATGAGCTGTGCTTTAACACTTGCACGAGGCAGATGCTGACAGCTGCAGATTTGGGACAAAATTTGGCAGCTTCTTTTGGCACAAGAGACTGAAACTTGGAGTCAGTGACTCGTTTCCTTCGCCTGTGTTTGCTTCTTGGATGATCCCAAAGTTTTTGTGGGATTCCAGATTGTGTCCAGGTTGCTGATCAAGGGCTGAGTTTTGGGAGCAGGGAGGAAGTTTATTCCCTAATGATTTAATTAAGGATTGACTTCTCTGCCTGATCTTGGATCTTTGCACTAGAGTGGGGGAAACTTCCAGGAGCTGAAAGGAGCCTCAGGAAAAATGGAAGGTCCCTTCCATCCCAACCCATTCCAAGATTCCATGAGAGCTGTAAAGGACCAGAGCTGCTGACTCTGCCTACAGCTGGAATTGCCTCCTAGGAGAGAAATAACTGCATTGATGTATAAGGATATAAATACATATAAATATAAGTATAAATACATATAAATATAAGTATAGAAATATTGAAATATTTAGTAACAGCAGGGGTTAGTCCAGGGGCATTGTGGCATTATTTTCACCACTCTCCTTGCAGCTGGAATTCCCCTTCCTCAGGATGGGGGATTTTGGCTGCTCCAGCCTTGCCTCTCTTGCCTCTCTTGCAGCACCTAMCCCCTGACAGGATCTACCACGTCACGGTGATGCCCTGTTATGACAAAAAGCTGGAGGCCTCCAGGCCAGAYTTTTTCAACCAGAAGTACCAAACCAGGGATGTGGATTGTGTCATCACCACAGGTGAGCAGAGCCACAGGAGATTCCCAATTCCAGCTCATYCTGGGAGCCCCAAAGCATTCCCTAGCTTTAATAACCCTTAGTTTYTGACAGAAGTTGGATATGGATATATGTTTACATTTTAATAGTGCAGATCATGCCCTTGTGTAGTTTAGGGACTGCTCTGTGGGGTTTGTTTTCCTCTATCCCCAAAATGAGAATTCACTGTGCCTGGTTCTGCTTTAGGAGAAGTGCTGAAGCTGTTGGAACAAGAAGGAGTGTCCCTGTCAGATGTAGATCCTGCTCCCCTGGATACCATGTAAGAACAAAAATCCCATTTCAGTCGGGTTCTCTTTCCTYCAGGATGTGGAGAGTTCAGAATTTGCCTTTTCCTGCTGTTCTACACAAGTGAGTTTGCACTTGGTTTGGTTTCTTGTGCCACTTGACCCAATATAATCGGGAGTTAAAATATTTAATGTACAGAATATGGTGAATTTCTATAGGACAGTGACTGATTCCAGTTCCTTTAATCCCACAAAAGCCCGCTGCAGGCTTTGGGAAGTGTAAGAATCYGTCCCAGTGATAAAAATTTCCTGAAGCAAAAGCTGTTCCTGGCATGCTCCTCATTATCAGAGCTGCTGTAAAGATCCCAGAATTAAAGCAGAAATAACAAATATTTAGGTCACTCAGTTCATCTCTTATTAAAAATGACATTCAAGACATGCAARCCAGATGAGATTGGGGTTGTTTAACTGAAAAGGGACATCTGGTCAAGGGACAGCTGCCCAGACTGGGGTGATGTGGGAACATGGAATCCCATTTTATGGGCTGAGGTGACACCAGGGCAAAGATGACACCAGGACTAGCTCTGCACAGAGCACCCAGAGCTGCCTTTCCTTGGGGGCAGGAGGAACATCTCCAGAGCTCTTGGCACATCATGGACTGAAGGATTCCTGAGCAGCACCTCTCTGCATTTCTAGGATGATTAACTGTAGAATCGTGGAATCCTGGAATGGTTTGGGGGGGAAGGATCTTAAATCATTCGGGTCCAACCCCAACACTTTCTGCTATCCCAGGTGGCTCTAAGCCCCATCCAGCCTGGCCTTGGCCTCTTAYAGGGATGGGACATCCACAGCCTCTTGGGGCACGCTGTGACAGGTGACAATTCCCACTGGGCACCAGGAGGCTGATCCTGTCTGCCTCTGGAGCTGTAAATAATTCCCAGGAGAAAGGGAGAAGCTGGAGCTCAGCAGGAGCTGCTATTTGGCTGCTTCCATCATTCCTCAGCCCCTGGAGCTTGGGTTTCCCCCGAATTCCCCTAAAGCTGCTGCTGTCTCCCTGGCCAGGCTGAGCAGTGCTGCAGCAGAGGAGCTCAGCACCCACTCTGGAGGAGGCTCAGGGGGGTACCTGGAGCACATTTACCGGCACGCAGCCAAGGAGCTCTTCGGAATCCACGTGGACACCATCGAGTACAAACCTCTCAAGTAAGAACCTCAAAACCCTTTTTCCAAACTTTTTTTTTCTGGAATTCTCTCCTTGCTGGTGGCCTGAAACTTCCTTTGCAATTCTTTACAAATTTAACATCCTTTGCAATGTTAAATATTTCACTTTCAGGCTTGAGAATCRGCTTCTCCCTCCCCCAGTTGCTGAGCAATGAATCAGCCAATTCCACACAGCTTTTCCCAGGGAGAATTCCAGCCCCTTCCCCACCCACACACCAGAGCTTGGCCTGATGGATTTTCCTACTGTCAAGCCACAAACAGTTTTTCGAATAATTGAGAAGGCAGAACTCTCATGGAGCTGGGATTCCTCACCTTGGATCAGGCCAATAAAGCAGATTTGTCACTAATTATTGATCCCAGAAGAGGAAACCTTGTGGGAGGGSTCTGGGGCTCTATTTAACTATAGTGAAATAGAAAATAAATCACCTGGGTTTGGGCACTGAGGCTCATCCACCTGAGATTCCTTCTGGCTTCCCAGTTATAATTTAATGTATCCTTTAGAATTAATTCTATTCCTAATGAGCAACATTTATGTTTAGGATKCCCTGGTTGAGGAAGCAGAAAAAACAGTCCCAATATGAAATACTTGATAAAAATCAAATTATTTTTTTCCAGAACAGGCATTCCTGCTAACCTTAGRAGTCTGGAATCCTTCAACCRGGGTTTGTTCCCATATTTTATGATYCAGTAGGAGTTAAAAATCCACTCAGGGTCTCTGTGAATGTTGGCTGAAGGAACTCACGAAGTCGGACAGGGAAAGGCTCCATTTGCTKAGCTTTTAAGGATTTCTCCAGCACAGGTGTCCTTCAGCAAGCCCTGCCCTGGTTGCCCAAACAACCCTGGAGAAGGCTCTGGAAGGAATTCCTKCATGTTTTCTTGGGATGGCCCAGAACTAGGACAGCTCTTAAATGAGATTCACCAAGAATTTGGGTTTAGCACAGGGCCCTTTGAAGTTTAAAATAGAAATTCATTTGGAGAAGACATTTCCTCTGCTCTGCTTCCTCAGGAACAAGGACTTCCAGGAGGTGACCCTGGAGAAGGATGGAGTGGTCCTGCTCCAGTTTGCTCTGGCCTATGGATTTAGRAACATCCAGAACCTGGTGCAGAAGYTGAAGCGAGGGAAGTGCCCCTATCACTACGTGGAGGTCATGGCCTGTCCCTCAGGTGAGGCTGCTCAGGGAGCACATCCCAGCCTGCCAGGAATCCAGGGAATTCGGCTTCAAGGCAAGAAAAATGGGGGGTCTTTTCCCCTAAAATTGCCCAAACCTGACCATTACACTTTTAGAAAATGCTGCTGTGGCTGGTGAAGAAAGCCACTTCCTACCTGTTTTATCCTATTTTCCATTTTGTTTCCTTTTCCTGCTTGCTCTCTCCAGCAGCCTGGGCTGGTGCTGTGGGGCCATTCCTGGCTCTCAGAGCTGCTCCTTCCCGAGGACCCACACAGCTCCCAGAACAGATCCCAGGCACTTTTCCCTTCCCTTCAGCTGAGCCTCCGGGGCTGGATTCACCTGGCTCTGGCTTCGTTCTGGAGGCAGGAGATAAGAGCTGCAGCTCTGGCAGGTTCCCAGCTGGAGCTGGCACAGGATCTCCCTGCCCTGTGGCCCTGCTGCTGSGAGATAACTGGGAGTGAACCTCAATTCCTGAGCTGTTTTCACTCCTGCAGCTGTTTGCACGGCCAGAATAAATCAACTTCAATTTTTCGGATGTTTTTCMTGCTGAAGCCCAAATTCTTTATCCCTCTTTTTCCCTCAGGCTGTTTGAATGGAGGAGGGCAGATCAAGCTGGCGGGAGAATCCAGCAAGGAGGAGCTGCAGCAGGTGGAGAGGTTGTATGAATCCCTCAAAACTGAGATTCCAGAGGAAAACCCAGCTGTGGGGGAACTCTACGAGCACTGGCTGGGAGGCTGGAGCTCAGAGAAGGCTCTGGAAGTGCTGCACACGGAATACCACGCTGTGGAGAAGGCAAGCACAGCACTGAACATCAAGTGGTAAAGGCTGTCTGGCCCAGAGACTGACACTCAGTGCCTTCTGAACTCCCAGGGAGGATTCTCCCAGGGCAGCTGGAGTTCTGTGCAATTCCTGCCTCTGGGAATGTGTGTGCAGACTGGCAGTGCTCATCCCTTCAGCCTCAGGATGAAGGGWTGGGAATAAACCCCAAACTCGTGACAGGAAATGCACCAAGAGAGGCAGAAATGCATCCCAGGCTGGAAGGACTGACCYTGCACTGCCCAATTCCTGCCAGAACTGAGGAATTCCAGGATTTCAAGCTCATCTCCAGGCTGAGCTTTGTGCTACACCCCAGTGCTCCTCACCCAGGCACAGCACTCRAGGTTCATGGCTGCCTCTGCTGGAATATCCTCATTCCATGGGAAATGGGCTCAGGAGGCCTGGAGTTCCTATATTTCACTGCCCTGCAGGGCCTGGGATCCAGCCCTGGGGCAGGATTAGTGCCTGGAATGGGACTGGAGTGAATGCTGGAGGAAAACCTTGTGATTGCTTTTCCTTAAATTATAATAATTTATACCAAGGGCAGTTACATCTCTCTCATTTTTTCCTAAATAAACAATAGGGAGTCATGGAATTGTCACACTTACCCATCCTCCACAGCCACTTACTGATAAGGGATAATATCCCCAAATCCAGACAAAACTTGCAGTTACCAATGGATAACATCCTTAAACGATGATAAAATAATTCCTGACCTTGGGCTGCCAGGAACCAAAGCCTCCTCTGCACTTTATTCCAATGAATCCACAGTGTCAGTGATGATTTTCATGTTTTTAATTAAAAGCTTCCCATTTTTCAGGTGTTGCTGATCATTAATGACCTCACAGTGTTCTAAGGCATAAAATCTTCCCCTGCTCCCCCCTCCCCACCCTCCTGAGGAGCAAAATCGGTGCTTCCAGTGAATTCCCTTTTCCATGCAGGAATTTGTAACACCCGGGGTTTGGCTGAACCAGAAAAAAACCTGGACAGGGAGAGGCTCCAGCCTGGAATGCTGAGAGCACAGATCAGTGCAGAGAACAGTGTCTGCTGAGCACATGCACATCAGCCCAGAAATGCACAATAATTAAGCGAAATTAGCTGGAAATTAAATAATCAAAGCACTACATTTTGTCCCTTCTCCAGTTCCCAGGTCACCCACACACACAGGTCACTGGAGGCACCCAGGACATTCCTGCTCTGGGCATTCTGGGTGGCTCTTCCTGCCCTGGCACCAGGAACAGCTGGAATTTCTCCTGGCTTTGAGCTGTGGAGCAGGCTCAGGGCCAGTTCACAGGAGCATTCCTGCTCCCAGGATAAACAAAATTCCAAAGGAACACCCAGGTGACATCCACAACYCCAGCATTTCATGTAAACTGAGGAATCCAGGCCATGGTGCCAAGGGAGCTTTTGCAGGATAAATCYTTCCCCTTCCACAGAGGAGAGTAAATCCCAACTATAACTTAATAAAAGGAAAAAAGAAAACCTTGGTCCAGTTTGTAGCAAGGGGGAAAGCCCCAAACCAGACTCCAGTGGCAACAAAGAAGTTCACAGTCCACACATGAAAATCCCTGAAATCAGCTCTACTCCAGTGCTGGGAGCTGCCATCAAACTCTAAATTTCTCAACAAAAATAAAGGAATTATTATACTGGTGTAAAGTACCTCCCCCACCTGCA